TTTTTGATTTTTTCGTTGAGTAATTTTTCTAGTTTATGGTTACGAATTTGTTTTTGAATAATAAATTTTCTTTCATAGGTTTTATTAACGGAACTACATATATGATTAAAGTCGTCAAAAGAGATTTTGTATCAATAATAATAATAATAATAATACCAACATGCTTAACAGTAAACGAGCTAAAAAGTGTTCCACACTATTTTCAGATTAGGTGGCCAACACATGGACGAATCAATTTCACTTTGGCAAAAATAGAAGCAAATTTGCCGGTGTTCAAAATATAGATTGTTAAAATGAGTGGTAATCTGGAAAGGGCCCCCGCCAGCGTTGAACTAAAACGGGGCCAAAGCAAATACGAGCAAAACGTATAAAAATCGATTCATTACACAAGAGCAAGCCGCCAATATTTGCAGGGGTTTGATTGACCAGGTAGCCTAACTTGATTAGCGATTAGAGCGATTGTGACGCGCACTCAAAGGCCTAATTAGCAGAGTTGTTGGAAGTGGATACGGACTAACGATGACAATGTTACAGGCCAGAGAACATCACTCTGCTGCATAACTAGACTGGTTGTTGTGTGACTAAAGTCCGAAAGTTCAGCAGTGGTCGTAATGTGATTAATTTGTTTCGTTTGGTTCACTTCGGGTTTTCGTTGAAAAAAACGCTATAACTGAGCAATTTGAGCAAAGTAGCTCAACTGGCGGTACAAGTGGACACCTTTACATATTCCTGTATAAAAACATAATTCTATGGCCAGTATAAGCGCGTAAATTTAGCCGAAGCTTTCAACCAGCTATCGCAATAGTAGGCCCAAATACTGTGCATGGTTTTGCCAGTAGCTGACTTCTGGCAAATATCGTTATCCAGAAAGAGACAAAGCTATTTCACGCGAGGCAAACATTTTTTGATTGGAACACAAAATCACGCGTCAGGGTTCAGCGGGTTAATTTAACCATTCGCTGCCATTTCGAAACTAAAGCGCGCCCCCTATGAAAGGCTATGAAACAAAATTGGCCGATTTCCAGTAAAGAGCTGGATGCAAAAATGGTTAATTATCCAACGCTGTGTGCGTTCCATCAAGGAAAAGAGTTCTGATTGAAGCCTGGAGTTCCTGTAGATATTGCTTATTTTTTATATGAAGTAATACCCGCATTGCCATCAACTGATCAACCATATCTTTGACTTCCAAGCATTTAAACTTAGAAGCGAAAGCTGCACCACTCTGTGGACAGAATGCAGTTTTTTGAAGCATTTCCTTCATTAATCATGTACATTCAGAGAACCAAATTGATATATCAGAGGAACGAAATTATTGACAGGAAACATTAAAATCGAAAGTCGATTTAAAGGAATGGTCCGAACTTTTGTGCAACCCACCCATTGAAAATCGCCCCACTGAATGCTATGAATGAAAGCCAAGAAGCCAAGAACCGATTCAACCGCAGTTGTAATGAGATTTATTATCGAAGATTCCCAAATATTTATTTTGCAAGTGGCATATCAACAATTCAGGTGGGAACATTGGCCTCTTTTTCAATAAAGACGTGGAAATTCTGTTTGGCCTTAAAGGCGTTGCCGCGCCTTTTACGTGTGTAAAACCTCGGCTGAATGAATATGAATTCGTGTGTGGAATATTTATGTGGTTTTTGACAGTCGCTGAATGTGCCATTGTCCCAAGGATTAAGATGTTCACGGCTTATATACAATAAAATATCGCAGACAGCCAGACGCCTTTCAACGAAGAGCTTGGCTTCAATGCAATTTACTCAGTCGATATTTCCATGTTCTAGTAGATGACGAATTGATAATTCACTTAAACATTCAATTTTTAAAATGGCTTTATTGTGAACATTTGCACACATATGCAAGTTCAATGTTGGGTACGTTTCCTGGCGTTTTAACGATTCAAATAATAAACCCTGCATTCATCGGACAAGAAAACTCTCTGTAACTGTCGATAAAAAACATTTGCTCACAAGAACAACGATAAGGTGACGCAATTTAGTATTTTTAAAACCATTTAATTCCATTTTCCCCATTTTAAAACCCGCCTCTTCTTTGCCGTCATCTTATTGTCCATCCCTTTTATGTATTGTTTTGCTTGTCACCTCCATCTTATTTAACCCTACCATTTAGGTTTCCATTCAAAATATTGCTAGAGATACGCAAAATCTTTCAGTGGGACGGCAGATTTCAGCTGAACTTTACAGAAAATAATCTCGCAATTCTTTCACGCGAAGGAAGATATTCCAGAAGGGGGGCCTCATCTAATGGGACAAAGTTTAACAGTTTGCCAAATACCGACTTAGTCGAAGTGTAAATAAAATTTTCACTTTTTTTATAGATTCCAGTATTACTACTACTGAAAAATTAGAATTCAGGGGTTTTTAGACCGAGAATTCCGAAGTTCCTATAATTTAGCCTGCAGTTTCCACAGGATTTTCTGGGTTTTAAAATGATACTGTTTTGTTGGCAATTTATTTTTCTCCGATGTTTCTTAATCAAAAAATATGTACTTTCTTCAAGTCGATATCCCTCACCGTTTTCCAGACATTTCACACCCTCGACTCGTCTAGTGATTTTTGACCTGATTCAAATTGGTTCCTTAATATTACCGTAAATTGACATTTTTAAAGTGGGGCAAAATTAACAAAATTTGCTTACTATCAGCTTGGTGTCAACGAAAGTGCTAAAAGGACTATTTGAACTTCTTTATTGCCTTGAATTTATTGAAAATGGTCCAACAAACTTATTTATTAATGAAGAAATTCGCGATACGTTTTGGGCTTATGTGTGATAAAATTTCAAAGGCTCGAGAAGACTTGCGGAAGAAAAATTTAATTTTACAATACGACAATCACTTATTAAAAATGTTACTAAATAAACCGAAGTTGGAAGAGATCACTTTGAACAATTATGGTGAAATAATAATTTTCCAAGACCTTACTCAATTTAAAAAGTAATTTAAAGTAGTGCTGAATGTGCCTAAATAATTAGGGATTGTTTGTTAAGTTATATTTCATTGAAAATTTGACCAGAACATTTCATTTATCTAGAGATCCAAGTTGAGTTACTCAATTCAAAAAATCACTAGAAGTTTCAATCTGAAAGGTCTCGAAAACGGTGAGAGATATCGACTTGAACCTAATATATTTTTTGTTTAGGAAACATCGAAGGAGAAAATATTGTCAGCATCAAAGTGATATTAAAAAAAAATGTCGGATGTTTTAAGCGGCTAACTATTGCAATTAGCGCCCTTGCAAGCTAAGTAATCGAACATTTAGATTCCTCAATCCAAAAAACTATCAAAAACATGTTTTTGGTAAAAGTAAAACTGGAAGCATCTACTTCGGACACTTTTAACTTTCGGATTAGACAAATTTGCATGGCACGCGATATTTTTGCCCAAAACAATGTCAGTGAACCTTGTCACATTAGAAAACCAGCCTGTAGAATCAGTAAAAATAATACGAGGGTTAATTATCTTAGTCTCTATCTAACTCTAATATCGCATAACGCAGAACATTGTTGAAGTTTAGGCGGCTTGAAGTCCTCAACATATTTAGTAGAGTTTCTCATCAAAAAAATTATTACAATTGAAAAACGCTCTAAGAAATTATCAATGTACTTTCTCAATGCTTAAACGCTTAAAAAAGGCGAAATAATTAAAAACGTCGCTTACTACAATATGCCGATAGTTTCCAGCAATCAACAACCGAATAGAAACTGTTATTATGATTATCAAAAACATTAACGAAGAAAAGGTAATTGTCTTTAAATATTGCACGTTAATTCTACGAGGCTCAACATATCTGGCATTTTGAGAAAACGAAGCAAGGCGAACCGACGGTAAACGTGCACTGACTAAATGTGCGAAGCAATGACTAGCAGTAAGCCAGCAGATTCCACCGATTAGATGTTCTCTGCTCACTAAAAGAAGACGTTGTCGAAACAGAATAAAAATTGATCGATTTAATAGCTGGAAATTAACTAGACTAAGAACAGCCCGAAAAGTGAGAAAGGCCAAAAACTGATGTAAAAAAATTATGAAAACAAACGGTTCTAAATGGATTGAATGAAGCTGATGATTCAACAGAATAGAATAAGGGGAAAAAACCTCACCTTAAATTGAAATGTTTGAACTTTTGAAACACCTGTTTCCTGTTTGTATATTCAGACAACTTATAAGGGAGAAATCAATATCTGATTTTATTCAATAAAGTATCATAATCCGAAGCATACAATATTTTCATTGAGTTAGGTATGCCTGCTTCAGGTCTCGATCCTGTAACAGTGACCAACGAATCGCCCATTTTTATATACCCCATAAGCTTCCCATAGGTGATTCCAAGCTGGACTCTGTCCTCTAAATCATGATCGTAATTCCCACTAAATGCCTTCAAATAGATAATCGGGTCGATGCTTTTATACAACCGGAGCAACCGGGCCACTCTGGGATATCGCGTAATAACAATCAAGGGACACCTTGGTTTAAATCTGGATATCAGTTTGGCAGTTCTTCCGGATGTTGTTAGACAGATGATGGCTGCCGCACTAGTTTTCAGCGATGCTTCTACTGCGGAAATGCATAGAGAGTAAATGGACTCGTTTGGTGTTGGGATGTTGTAAATGAGTTCGTTGAATATTTGGCGCTGATACACCGCTGGTTCTGCTTCTTTGCATATCACTGAAACCTCTTTGACGATTTCTTTAGTGCATACTGATTGGTTTATTAGTAAACCATCGGCGCCGTCTATAATGCAATTTGCAATGTCGCAAACCTCTGATTTTGATAAGGTGGTAACATCTGCTATGTTAGTGGAGCAAATTACTGGGATTCCTTTCAGGTTGCATTTGGCTAGTATGGATTTCTGCACTAAGAAGACCTTTTCTTTGGGAATATCGAACAGCAGCCGTTCGCAATCTATGCAAACTCCATCGGATTCGTCAATGATTTCGTTGATATTGTCTACTGCCATCGAATTTTCGATTTTTGTAAGGATTTGCAATGTGTCAACGCCCCCTACAAGCCTTTTAATATCGGAGATATTTTCCTTGCTGTAAATGCCGGAAACGACAATGTAATCTATATGATTATCTATGGCCAGCTTGAGAATGTCCATGTCTTCACTGGAAATCACCGGAAGATCTATAGGGGCATTTGGAATTATTACAGAAGAGCGTCCAATAAGCGTACCAGCCTTTTCAACGATGCACTTCACTATGCTTTCAGCCACTTCGATGGCAGATAAATGAAGCGCGCCATAGTCAATGAGGACTTTATCGCCTGGCTGGATGATCTCAGAAAGCTTTTGATAATCCACGAAAATCATGTCTTCATTGACAAACTCTTCATATGCTTCGTCCGAGGTTAAAGCAGTTAATTTCCCTTTTGGAAGATAAAGAGAATCCCTGTTCTTTTCCAGTTTGCCAATGCGAATTTCCGGTCCTCTGACATCAATGGCAAGCGCAAGCGGATATATCCGACCAATCTTCTTGCTGAATCTTTCAGTCAGCACCCTCACCTTGGCAATCATTTCCAAAATTTTATCCTTCTGGTTCCCGGGCACTGTGATACGAGCAACTGACATACCCAAACTCATCAGCTCTTCAATGGTGTGGCAAGTCGCATTCAGAGGCAAAGTACAAACCAGCTGACTTGCCCGAAAAACTGAGGCTTTCGACTTCATGCTCAAACTGCTCAGATGGCTCAGTGCGGTGCTGGCAAAAGCAGCTTCCAGTTGATTATTCAGGACTTCTCCATCTTCGGACTTGAAAAATTCCACCATCCAAGGCAATTTGGGGCAATCCGGATTGTACGGGTCCATTATGATCAACTTCGAATGAAACGACGAGCAATTTTGTGAACAAAAGTGAATGGTCTATACGAACTTAATGATTTTCGCTGTGGGCCTTCATGACATAATTTTTATTGTTGATTTGACACGTGCCAATTTAATAGATTCGGTCATTCGATTGAGAAGCTTGCATGCAAAAAGGTGATATCTACTTTTCTATTTTTGATGGTTCTTGGATCTATATTATAATAAATACCACATCAAACCGTAGCTTTTTCTGGATGCAAAAGCTGCTCGTGAATCGCTTGCGGATTCTTTTCACACCAAAAATTACCATTTTGCGTGTTCAGAAAACCGTTTAACAAACAATTTAATGCTGTTTTAAAGCCCAATGTGCAAATAACAGACGCTCGTTATGGTTGTCTAAACTTGTCTAGTGGCTTTAGTTCTTGAACCAACACAATCTTGTAACGATGTAAACCGGCATTTTTCTGCAAAATGTCCTGCGCTGTGATCTCCGAAAGGTGAAACATTTGTGAACGTCTTGGAATCGACAAATTTGCAACTTCAGCAACAGTGGCTCTTAGAGCATCAATATTTCCTTTATTTCTGGCAGCAGACCATCGGATTCATTCAAATCTCATATTATGACCGATTCGAGGAATAGCAATCACAGAAGGACGATGATGCAATTTTAATTAGGTACCCAGTTTTCCATTGGTTTAAACGGTTAACAAGCTGGACCAGGTCTGGACTATACTGCAACACAGTTAAAAATGGAGAATTCTTACGGTAAGATGCCGCTTATTCTGCTGCTTAGCCACTACTATATAACAGTTGTGTGGGGTCCTATTGAAAAATGTTGAACTGTTTCACATCAAGGGTTATGCAAGGATATGGGATTGGGCAACAAAACAAACGGATGAAGCCCTTCACATGGCTATTATACGAGCGCCGACAATAAAATTTCCATTTTGTTCTAGCTTCACAGCTTATTCACATTCACTTTCAACTAAGAAAGTGAAATACAGATGACCATGAAATGACAGGGCTTGATTTATAATAAACACAGACTAAACGGAACATCGGATAATAAACAAAGGAATGATACAATAAAGCATATCGAAACCCTACCGAAATTGTTCAATAGTTTTACCTTAGAACCCATTAAATCCGATAACCGTTTAAATCGGGTTTGTGGCCGTGTGCCTAAACATTTTTTCATAAACAAGTTGGAAGGTGGAAGTGACCCATAAAATAGAAAGTGTCTTTCTCAAGAAAAGGTTGAGGAAGGCCATGAATTCCCTTTCCCATAATACCCGGAAACCACCAAAAGAACCTGATTGTTGAAGAATTGCGTCAAACAGGGAATGGCCAACTGATTCCAGCTGCCAGTTTTATGCTTCTCTCCGAGAGATCTGTCTCTTTCTCTAATATTTTGAAAGCACACCGATGAGAACGAATTTGAATAGCTTCTCCCTAATTAAATTGGAAGCGTGTCGCTAAGAACGTGTGTATAACAAAACGTTAATTGTACTGAATGCACTAGAATGCATCCCAGCATCCCTTCAAAATTGCCACTCTCTCGTCTCCACTAAGAAGAAGAAAATCTTCATATTTAAGAACGTTTCGAAATAGTGGTGTGTTCAACAAATTTTCTTCCATGCAGTTACTTTTATTTTATGGATTTCCTTTATGCAGAATATAGCCCAGATTATGATCACGCTAATTGCAGACGAAATTAGCGTGATTAGTTTAAACTTTATTATTTTTTAATTTTCTTTTACAAATTCGAACTTGAGTTGGAACTTAGACTAGTAGTAGTAGATTAAGTAAGTAGATTTTGCACAGACTAATCTGCCAAAATCCAGAAAAATAATTTATGTTTGTCTTTTCGATAACAATTTTCACTTTTTTGTTGTTTAGCCTTGCGTCTCAACCCTCTAGCTGATTATCAATTAACATAAGCAAAAGCTCTTCAGATTGCAGTAAGACAATAAGCAAGTAAAATTTGTTTTGATACTCAGTAAAAGTAGTCAGATTTTTGCTGGTTTTAAGTCCTAGACGAAAAAGAATCTTAGAAATCACATGAAAACGCAACTGTAAAACGGGTTTTGCATTTGAAGAATCATCATATAGGTATATAGCCATATGGAAGCTACAAAGTAAATCCATTCTCGTCTTATGGCGTTTTAGTTACATCATTTTTCATTTCTGTTCCCCTTTATTGCGTTTATTATTATACAGTTGAACTCGTCTTTCAAAGCGCTCTCGAAATGTAAATAAAATTATTTATTTTTCATGCATAGCGAAGAAAAGTTGCACTTGAATTTCAAAAAAAGTTGGGCTTCATTTTACACATATAACGGTTTTTTTTGTAAAACCTCTGAAGTCTGACTAATTTCTTTTACTTTATGTTTTGCAAAAAGAACATATTGCATATATCATAAAACAAGGTTTAAAAAAAAAATTGTATCAGCAGGATACAATTTTAACGTAGGATAAAAATATATCACGATTTACTTAATAGAAAATCCCCTATTAATATTTAATAATTTATTAAATTAGAATCAATAAACTGGATAAAAGTTGCAAATTTTTGAGTTATTAATGTTTTGAAACAATTGAAAATGTTAAATCTTTCTTATATCTTAAAACAAATGTTTCGAAATTTAATGACATAGAGAAATTTTTTTATTTTATATAGATTCTCCTACAATTACGATTTTAGTGGCAAAAATTTAAGTTTGAGTTCAATCTCAAAAGCAACCGCTTTTCAGAGAAAGTTTTATACTTTCAATTGTCAATTGTATTTGCAATACAATTGACTGTAACTTATCTCTAGAAGCAATAATAAAGGATTTTCAGAATATTTTAGTGCAACAATTTATTTTGATTTTGCCGAAATATGTATCTACTAGAAAACCACATGTCTGAAACTTCAACTTATGCTTTAAAATCACTTCCAAACACTGTTTTCCACATGCAGAAATGGCTTGTTCTGAGTAAAATTATACGATTTAACCAACTCATAGGTTCTAAGTGGCAAAGAATTTAAAAAGTTTATCAAAATTCTTTTAATATAGGAAATGCAACCCTTACATAGGACTTTAGCTTTGTTGGACTGGTAGGAAAACCTACTTTGAGTAAACTGAGTCGCAAAATGCAATGAAACAGTAAAATTTTCACAGTTTTTCCACATTTTTTTCAACAAAGATTTACAGTATATTTGTTGTGATAAGTAGGTTTCCACAATTAAAGATTTCCAAGAACCTTTATTGCAAGCCAGCTTTTGGTTGTCGCAGACAAATTTAAAGTGAAAGTTGAAATGAAAACCACATTCAAATGGAAGCCATTCATTCATTCATTCATTTTGAAACAACAGGCATAGAAAGAAACTAGCAAAAAATGCACTGAACCCACAGGGGGCGTCCGTAACTTATACACGTTTTCTAAGGGTATTATGTAAATAGAAAGCGCTAATAACCTTTGAAGTGACATGTGTTTTATTCGCAAACAAACCGAATAATGAATGGCTCGAAAGGGTTAAATTTGCAAGACAAATAGACTTTAGAAGAATTGCAGAAAGTTGCCGAAGCTTGAATAGATTCGGACCCACCAGATTGCAAAACGACCATTCCACAGCGTAAAATACACTGCAGGGTGGAGCGTAATGCGGTGGAAGGCACAATAAATTAGCAAAACGACCTATTTAGAGAAATTTTCCTGCCAAAATCAAAAAGCTTTACTTTGTCAAAGTGTTGTTTAGTAAAAGAATTTCTTCAGGGTGTAACCCTTAATAAACTCGGTTAAAGAATGAAAGCGATTCGATTCGGATCATTTTTGCACAAAACCCCCATTGATGGATTTCAGGAAAGGGAAAGCATCGGCTTGCGTAAGAAAAAGGGTTGCGTAAGGCATTTGCAGAAATAATTCATTATAAATATAAAGGCTAAAAGGGGGTGATTTATTTCAACAGCATGTGGGAAATTTTGCAACTCATACTACAGGATGATTCAAAATTGGCGTCATTCTTTTTAAGGGGTAATAGGGGCTCACCTGGAAGTTCGAGACAAATATTTAATTTTTTTTTCAAAAATTTCTAGAAGATGTTAATTTTGTTATTAAGCATTATTTTGAAATTGTCCCATGTTTAAGTGGTAGCATTGGAATACTTAAGCATTCAAAAAAAAATTACGATCTTTGCTTCAATAGTGCTAAAACTTGCAATGTGCAGGTTAGTTCAATAATATAATTTCGGAATTAGAAAAAAAATTAAATCTGGAATTAATGCGGCGCAGTCGGTAGCATATCTTCAGGTCAAACAGATTCAAGTTTCCTTAAGGAATTAGATACACAAATTCGATCATCCTTAAAATAACAATTCAGTGATCCGAACCTCGTGCTGATCAACAACGACAACTAATTTTTCTAACTAGAAATAAACACAAAAACGTTTAAGATCATATTCAAAAACTAAAAGCGCTGTAGCATACAAATCAGTACAAAAGTATGCACTAAAAAATTTTCCAGTTTAAAAAACCGTTAATCAAATCAAATAATCTCTTGGATTGTTTGGATTGTATGGAAACTGGATCAAAGATTTAAATAATAAAATAACTTCAAAAATCACCTACACGTTTTATACAAGTCTATAAACATTCAAGCCTTCCAAGATGGGTTTGTATTTAGAGAATCGATGAGGGTTCATATGAGTCCTTAAAAGGGTTATCCAGAGAGTTTATTGATTGTAAATGTGATCAAAAATCTGTCCTATATTAGAGTGATCCTAATTATCGATACAAAAAGCTGGCAGAGTTGATTGGCCGTCACATAGAGACGCGGTCACATGTGTGCAGACCGTCACATTTCATCGAATTTCACGGCTGGATAGAGCTTTTGTGTTGTCGGGAGCGGACCCGATCGAATAGGGGTGTCGCTGTCAAACACATACAACTCACACATGTGCTTGATAAAGAATATTGCAAATAAGGAGAGATTATTTCCCGGTATCAATCATTCTCAAGTACTGAAATGATGCTTTGTCACATTGAATTCATTATCTTTCGCATTCAACTTCGGCACATTTTATTAACACTAAACGGGGCGTTTTTCAAAATTAATTTGCGCCATTGCCATTAACACTAAAATAAGTTGAGTTGA